TCTGTCCTTCCAGTCTTTGTCCTCCCTCTGTCCCTCTGTCCCCCTACATCCTCACTCCATCCCCCATCTCATGTCACTCACTCATTCTCCACCATAAACCCCCACTTCCCTCCCTCCCCCTCACTCTCTTTAGTCTCCTGCTCTTTCTTCCTATTCAAAGGTGAATTAAGTCACCAGTGCTTCTTTTGAGAGTGCCTGGGGGGCATTTGGTACAGTGGTAACTTCATGTAGCCTGGTCCCAGATCTGTTTGTGCTGTATAGCATGACAATGACCATAGGAGTCGACAAGACGGCACAAAAAAGATGTGCGATTAGACAGGCTACATTTTATGTTCTAATGCAAAGATAGAATGTGGGAAAATTTTGAAGCAGGGGTCGAATTATACATTGACTTGAGAGAGTGAACGGTGTACTTGAACAACATTGATATTCTTAAGCCTAGGGGGTTGCTAACGTTAATATTTCAACATTTATGGTGCTGCCCTAATTTATATTGGGAGTGCCAATAAAGGCTCCGGCCTATTTTCATCCCTGTGTTTTTCTGGAAATAAAACAAAGATGGGTGAAGGTAGGAAAATACATGAGCCATTTTTACATCCAAAGTGACAAAATGCTACCACACAACATCATTCTTATTCTCCTCTTCTCTTGCCCATTGTCTTTATTTGATCCTTAATCCTCATCATCTTCCATAACTCCACCTTTTCTCCACCTCTCACAGATGGACCTGTATGAGAAGTTCCAAGTAAGTACCTTTAAAAGCTATTCTTCACTTGCATAATCTTGGTCTCCTTTCTCGACAACTTCATTCTCCGACCTCTTTCACTCCGACAGCTCGGTTTTGGTGAGGAGCACACTTCAAGCGTGAAAGCTGCCAGGCAGCACAAAGAGGATGGTTTAGTCTCAGGTAACCAGTGCTTTAGGGGATGCACCGTAACACACAAAGACATGGGCCCTTCACAAAACAGCTAAAGAGTTTAAGGGTTGATGTATTCCTCCTTTTCTCTCGCTCTCAGGGGGATACACATTCTTAGCTGAACATTGAGCGTGACTATCTACAGATTCTACTCTATTGGGACCCCTGGGGGAAGAGAGGGCCAAAGGGTCTTGAATTCTCCTTACCTCCCTATGACTCCAAGCATTCATTAGCTAATCTCTTTAGGATGGAAATGGGGACAGTCAGACACAAGCACATTGAGGAAAGGGCTTCTACTACAGTTGCTGCCTGGTTGTTGCCTATAGGCCTACACTACTAAGGTAAAGTCTGACTGACTATACATCCCTTATTTTTGCCCCCCACAATGATGAACCTGCAAAAGGAAGGTACTTTGCAGTTAAAGCCCTCTGTATGAATGGGGTATGAGTCTAAGAGCTGAGTCGAGTTATTGCTGTAAAACTAAAGCAGTCTAGCCTTCTCTTTAGAATAATGAAATACCTGCTAAAGCTAAAACAGGTGGCCATCCTCATAACTTCCTGTACGTTCTGTCTCCTGCTCCTAGGGTTTATTGTCCTCCACTATGAAATCGGGGAGGGGACTGTGGATCTGTCTCGGTCTGTACGTGATATCTCTGACAGCACTGGCAAGATTTTGACGAAACTTGGGTGAATGTGTCTTGCCATAGAGATCAGGCATTTACAAAATTACACTAATTGGCCCAAGACCGGAGAGGGGCGCTGCATCATTCGTAGGGGACGAGAGGTTTACTGTTGCCTTACTTTTGAAGAATAATCCAGTGGAAAGAGAGACTTCCAAAACTAAGTATAGGTTTGGAGATATATTTCACTTAGTGTAAGCCACCTGTACTGTTAGGTTTGTTCCAAATAGTCAAGACATTGCCATTTTATTTAACACTAAATTGAGAGGTGAGCAAGTCGTAACATATTGCATGCAAGGTAGTAATTAGGCTTCAGTATAATTGTATGTAGGCTAATTTAGCCTAAATATAGTGTAGTCATATCAAAATATGTCCTACTGAAAACCTTGGTTATATCGATGCAAATGTGAATAAAATTAGACGAATTCACGTTGTTGTTGTACCGGACTCCAGGAAACATTCGCTCACTAAAATACAAATGGACTACTGTTTTGTTTCAACGTTTGTACAATAATTTAGTTTATAAACTCTTTGTTCGTAGTTATATTTAGAATAAGAAGTTCTGTCGGCGGTTTTTACCTTTCTTCTTGGATTTAAATCAATCAACTTCTTTCTGCGCGAGATCCCAAGTAATAGTTCCAGAGAAAATAAGCTGGTCCAAAAGGAAACAATCTTCAAAAACACCACCTGGACTGCTTCTTGAGAATACTGCCAAACGTTTTTCAGGTCGAATGTTTACACGAAGTCTACGGTCATTTGTTTGTTGACCCGTCTCAGGAGTGTCGCCAAAGATCTTCTTGTCATGTTGCCCCTTGCTCTTCTAGCGAGAATCGTCACTCCTTCCTCTCCTCCTTAGTCTGTGGACTGCGTGCGTGCGGCTCAAGCAGGTGCGCACGAAGGACTGAAACGCACGCGTGCACCTTTTATTTGACGGGTTTATTATACATCATTGGTTTATAAAGAAATATAAATAACGCATTTGGAATTTTGCTACACCCATACATGCAACTTTATTTGAATTTCAACTTAACGCTTGATTACCGATATATATGATTTATAGAAATGACGTTTAAGTGAAAATCACATGGCCTGCACCATGAAATATTGTTTTATTGTTCATGTTTTTGGACCGACTCTTTGATAGTAGCATATGTAAAACATGATATTATAGCTTTAAATGTCATTCTAAAATGATTTATCTCACACAGAAGTGTATTCCTATAGGCATAGACATTCCATGAGATACTTTATTATATCAACTAATTTCTGGTTGATAATGGACCACATTAGGCTATCAATTCACTGTTTTTTTCTGTATTAATCATCTCTCTCATCAAATCATTGATGGGCCAGCCCAGGTATTCGTTTTTGTGCTTTATGGTTTACTCCTGCAGAGGGCGACCGAAGACTGTTAGAACCCCAATCTGCACTCAGAAAGGTAGTTTTTTATTAATGAATCTATGTTAATGAAAAAGAAGATGCTTCATTTGGATAAATTACATAGGCCTGTTTTTAAAAGGAGAATGAGCATAAAGGCCAAATGATTATTTTAATTGTGGTCCTCAAAATATAGGCTACAGCTTCAAGAATGGGTTATTACACAATGGTCATGCTCCTATTTACCCAAACACTTAAAGGATGCTGCTTGACAGCAGTCAGGTCCCCTCTGACCAACAATGACACATTGCAGAGTTAAACTAGTGCAGAGGTGCAAAGCTCTGGTCCAAGTTAGAATATTAAGAGCTGATAAAAAAGTATGGCCTGCACTATTGTTCTATTCCCTATGATTTGAAAAGTTTGCAAGGGGGATGATTCCAAAATGTATTCACAAAACCTGTTGACAACAATGTTCCTTTATTTAAAATAACCACACAACACTGGCAGTCGATTTAATGTATTTTCACAAGGTTATGATCAAATAAACCAAAAAAAATGAAATTCTTGAACTTCTTAGAGAAACAGAAAACGTATATAGTTCTCACAAAAAGACAATTCATAGACCAACATGTTGTCACGTTACTTGGCATGCATCACTGTATGATCTTCAGTAATGCTACTGGTTCAGTTGAGCAGTGTTTCCAACCCTGGTCCTTGACTACCCCCAACAACACAGTTTCGTTGTAGCCCTTGACAAACACACCTCATTCAACTCAGTGAGGGCTTGATGATTTGTTGACAAGTTGAATCAGGTGTGCTTGTTCAGGGTTACAATAAAAATGTGTGCTGTTGGGGGTGCTCAAGGACCAGGGTTGGGAAACACTGCAGTAGAGCGTGGTGTGTTCAGAGTATTTACTGTATGCAGGACGACAGTATTGGATTAGTAAAACTAGAATTTATAGAACCTTTAAAAGTGGATTTGCTGTGCTATTTTTACTGGTCAGTTATCTTAAAACATTTGTCCATCGTACAATATGAGAGCACTTCGTAATCATGTTTAGGACACTAGATATTTTATCATTGTATAGCATTATATTTGTCAAAAACACATTACGAAGATGAAAACCTGCTAAATTCCGTCCACCCTCTTATGGGGAACATACTAGATGTACAGATATACCTCAGGTTTAAACAACCCTACGTGGTTCAATCCCTACAAGCTCTCACAGTCTCACATCAGAATTAGACGTTCATCCATGTTTCTCAAACGTCATATTTCAAAGTTGTTCCAAACGTAACATTTTGAAGTGTTTAAGGTTAAGTTTAGGCATTAACTCTGAATGGTTAAGGTAAGGGTTAAGGTCTGGGATAGGTTTAATTTTTAAAATTAAAATTATATTGCTGGTTTCAAACATGGAACCTTTGGAATCAGAGACAGATGCTTACACCCATCCACCATCCCCATCCATAGCAAAACTTAAACCCACTTGAAGGTAACAGCGCTCACTGTTGCCCCTAGTGGCCGGTTTTCCAGTCATCTCCTGACATCCTCCGACATGGATGGACGTCTAATACTGACTTGTATCACGGGTGACCTACCTGGCAATCCAGTACTGTTCATCCCCAAATCAGTAACTTCACCATAAGAACAATAATGTCGCCGCCTGCTATCAGTTGACCTTTACAACTGCAAAAGCACCATAAAAACATGCAATAAACCACAGTGATACTGAGCAGAGCTCTAAAAACAATCCACCTGAAGTGCATTGAGCCTAAAGTTGAGCCTTGACGGGCCTTGTTCTATAGATTCCATTCCACTTCATCAAGGAAAAGTCTCATGTAGGGACATAGAGCCCGAAAATTCCTTGTGTGCCTGGCACTTGTGTCAGCCTGTCTTGGTCTTACCCTCCCTCGAGGCCTGGTAAAGGGGGAGGGCAAATACTGTAGGCTTGGTTGTGTCACTGTAAAGGGAAGTGTGCATTGCAGCTTGATGCTTTGTCTCCCTCCTGGTGGTCGAGTCTATGAACTGTTGCTGAGTCGCCGGCGAATGAGAGAGGCTGGCTTGGTCTCTGTGTCCTCCTGGTCACTCTCACACTGTCTCTGATGACAAGGAGAGATACAGCAGGTTAGTTATCTTTTACCGGATTCACACTATAGGGCAGACACAAATCATAGTGTGCTGGCTCGGTTATTTTAGTTTCACATTGTTATTTTCAGAAAAGTTCAAGCAACTAGGGTGAATGCGTAACCAGGCAGGCCATTCCAGTACAACTTTGCTTAGCTCAATTTGGCTCAGTAGTGTGCAAAGGGTATTTGAATACAGTCAAGTTCTTTGCATTGTTTTCTACCCTCACCCTCCCTTTTTAGTCGTTATTTATGCGATTTTCCTAACTCCTCACTCATTCCACTCCAATATTTGGCTTGCTTTTCAACTGGTGAGGATATCATCAAACACATCAAAACAAGAGATAAGCAAAGCTTGGTTGATAAGCCATTTGAGTTAATGATACAGTAGGCTATATTACCTGTTAATTTTCAAAGCCTGGAAATAAAGCATTTTTGCAATTAATAGCATTTTTTAACAATAGAGGTTGGAAATGAGGGCCACACTTAATAACCAATGTACTGGGTTTCGTTCAAGTGTAACTCTTAGTTGGACTGTCATGGCAGCCTTACTCACCAGTTCCTCGCCCGCCAGTGCACTAGTCTTACATTGCAGCTTCAGTCGACGCAGCCGGGTACACACCCATACCATGTTATATGACATCTAGAGAGAGAGGATCAGAGGAAAGGAGATATGAAAGGGGAGGATGGAGAGAGGGGACAGGGGACCATAAGAGATGTTAGACAGAAAAAGACAGATCAGGAGAACAGAAGAGTAAGTAAGAGTAAATATAGAAGAGAGCAAAATAAAAGAGAAAGCGAGAGAAATTGATTGAAAATATTATATTTTAAGCTGCAATACTAACTACCACAGTAGCACAGAGTTTCTAAACCGAGAGACACAACATCGCGAGAAGGAGAGAAGTGGTATATAAAAGCACAACCTAGATTCGAGAAAATATCTTAAGTGGTTGAACATGTTATTACTCCAACCTCGTGAAAGTGACAAACTGACACGTTTTCATTTTCGTCAAAAACAGCTTATATATATATATAGATAAGGATTGCCTTTAATTTGACAGCCTGGCAGTTCAGTGCGAGATGACAGTTACACCCGATTATGTGTCTCTGCACGTGATCTTAGCTAGCCAATGTTGTCATGACATCACCTACAAGTGTGATTGGGGACTTCTATTTGAGAAGCTGTGTCTGCCTATCTTCATACTGTATTTGACAGTAGTGTGCTAAAAGGTCATTTACACGTCAAGTTACACGTCAACTTCAGTAGAGCGTCTTCACTACAACCTCTACATAGCTTCCTATTACTGCTATCAGCCTGCGCCTTATAATTGAGGCTATACGTGAACATGTTTAAGATTGGGTACAATTTAATTATTCTGGACACCATATTATTCTGTCTTAGCAAGGAAATTCAGCACCTTGCTAAAATGTGCGTTCTTTAATTCATTTAAACTTTGCACATGAACATACAGATCTATGTATGAGGCTCGGCGCACTGCTCAGTCTGTTTCTCTGACCCACTTGCTGTGTCAATATGTTGTTGTTGTTTTATTTGAGCACCGCCCGGCTTAACTGACACTACGATGTATAGGCCCTGCTTCTCAATGTAGCTGTAAGTTCAAAACCGGTTTTGTGTTTGTCTTATGTAAACTACATTTAGTGAACATGTACTCTGTTGTCTCAGACTATAATGTCAGTGTGCTTTATGTTCTAATAGACAAACAAGAGTAGACTTGAAAAGGGCCTTTCGGACAAAACATTGCCGCCTCACGTTCATGCCCTATTTGTTCGTTTAGTTCCAGAAGACAAGCATTGACTGTGTAGCAATGACCTCAGTTTGATTTCATTATCCGTAATAAAACACATGCACATTTCCAAGATTTGAGCTTTATTCAGTGTCATAATAATATGTGATATGGCATAAAACTATAGGACAAAAATAGGACATATATCCTACTCACCTTCCATTTCCTCTTGGCATTGAACTTCTTAAAGTTCTTCATGTTGATGGAGGAACGATTCCTGTTGGCCACCTGTTTCCGTGTCAGAGGCTAAAAAAGAGGGAGAGATAATAAGTGAAGGAGATTAAAAACAAGTACATATATTAAACTGTTTGTAAGGAGCAAAGCCTTGTGCTGCTGACTCTCACCTTGATCCAGGGGTGGTGTAGACACTCCTCAGCGGTCATTCTCTCACTACACAGAGACAGACCGACAGAGAGACAATAAGATCGGCATAGACAGACGAACAGAGACAGGCAGACAGGCAGGCAGGGAGAGAGTGGCAGCCACAGACGGTCAGACAATGGGTAATCTATTAATTCGATACATGCAAGTTCTATTCTATCAAAAGCAGCTGAAAAAGAAAGCCGTCATTCTCAACTGTCATTATCTCACTACACAGAGACAGACAGACAAACACAGACAGCCAGACAAAGGGTGATATATTCATACAATACAGAGTTCCTATTCTATCAATAGAGGCTTAAAACCAAATATGGCTGAAAAAGTTTCAATCCATTTACGATAGGTGCAAAGTTACAAAATAAGTGATCCATTCACTATTCCAGTCACCGTTCCATACTTGTCTTGATGTCGTAAAAGGACATCGTAATAGGCCAAATTACCCATGACCAATGCATTATTTACTTCAGATCTTTCACAAAGAGCTTCTGGATGAAGTCTTTGGCCATGGCACTGGTCATGCTGAAGTGGTGGTCGTCAAACTTGTAGTTCAGGGCTATGATGTTCCTCAGTGTCTCCTCGTCTGTGTCCCCTTGGAACGGGGACATACCACTCAGTCTGGAAAAATAGAGAAGGTTGCTGTTACTATAGCCCAATTCCAAGTCAACAGAGGAAGATAGCAATATTGGCACATTTGTACAGGGTTATGGTAGGCTAAGGGTTGATTTGGAATTGGGCATATGTGTAAATCCAAACGTACAGTAGCACCCCCCTTTTCTCCCTCAACTTACAGTATGTAGGTGATCACTCCGATGCTCCTATATGGGTAGGCAAACACAAACAAAGAACTAACAGTCATGTGGTTATTTTGTTCACAGAGGCCTAGAGACTCAGTTCTTATCTCAATATCTTAACTTTATTCCAAAGGATGTAGACAGAGCGGTTGTGGTGAGTAGTTATTTAATGCTTGCTTTCGTATTTCCAAATGTACTATAATCAGCTGCCTCTGACAGTTTCCTGCCTAAGGCTCTGGGGGAGGAGCATGACACATTGAAAACATAAGCCTGTCTGTTTGTCCCTAAAATTAAACTCAAAGATCAACGCAGACATCTGAATGCTACTTTACTTTTTCGGGGATAGTCACAATGTGAAATGTCCTGGGGTAAAATTATTTTTTCCCCGAAGTCCTCATTTTTTAGCACCATTTATTAATGCTGGGCTGGAGCGCGTCTGGGTACACTCATATTCCACTGTACAACAATCAAGTCCAACCCTTTAGACTCAAAACAGTTAATTTCTGTGTAAAAACAAACACAGTATCTAGCCGAAACCCACTAGAGAATCAGATTGTTATACAGTGGCTGAACTCATAGTGTGTAGATAATGCATTCAACCAGAAACAGTAACACTGTAAGGGTAGGTAACAACACATTGCCACGCTGATCCTCAACACGGGGGCCCCTCAGGGGTGCGTGCTCAGTCCCCTCCTGTACTCCCTGTTCACCCATGACTGCATGGCCAGGCACGACTCCAACACCATCATTAAGTTTGCCGACGACAACAGTGGTAGGCCTGATCACCGACAACGATGAGACAGCCTATAGGGAGGAGGTCAGAGACCTGGCCATGTGGTGCCAGGATAACAACCTCTCCCTCAACGTGATCAAGACAAAGGAGATGATTGTGGACTACAGGAAAAAAAAAAAAGAGAGGACTGAGCACGCCCCCATTCTCATCGACAGGGCTGTAGTGGAACAGGTTGAGAGCTTCAAGTTCCTTGGTGTCCACATCACCAACAAACTATAATGGTCCAAACACACAAAGACAGTTGTGAAGATAACGACAAAGCCTATTCCCCCTCAGGAGACTGAAAATATTTGGCATGGGTCCTCAAAAAGTTCTACAGCTGCACCATCGAGAGCATCCTGACTGGTTGCATCACCGCCTGGTATGGCAACTATGTCTCCCGAGTGGCGCAGTGGTCTAAGGCACTGCATCGCAGTGCTAGCTGTGCACCTAGAGATCCTGGTTCGAATCCAGGCTCTGTTGTAGCTGGCCGCGACCAGGAGACCCATGGGGCGGTGCACAATTGGCCCAGCGTCGTCCAGGGTAGGGGAGGGAATGGCTGGCAGGGATGTAGCTCAGTTGGTAGAGCATGGCGTTTGCAACGCCAGGGTTGTGGGTTTGTTTCCCACGGGGGGCCAGTATGAAAATGTATGCACTCACTAACTGTAAGTCGCTCTGGATAAGAGCGTCTGCTAAACGACTAAAATGTAAAAATGCAACTGCTCGGCCTCCGACCGCAAGGCACTACAGAGGGTAGTGCGTACGGCCCAGTACATCACTGGGGCCAAGCTTCCTGGTATCCAGGACCTCTATACCAGGTGGTGTCAGAGGAAGGCCATAAAAATGGTCAAAGACTCCAGCCACCCTAGTCATAGACTGTTCTCTCTGCTACAGCGTGGTACCGGAGCGCCAAGTCTAGGTCCAAAAGGCTTCTACCCCCAAGCCATAAGACTCCTGAACAGCTAATCATGGCTACCCCGGACTATATGCACTGCCACCCCATCCCACTCTTTTACGCTGCCGCTACTCGGTTTATTATTTATGCATAGTCACTTTAACTCTACCCACATGTACATATTACCTCGACTAGCCGGTACCCCCGCACATTGACTCTGTACCGGTACTCCCCTGTATATAGCCTCCTGTCACGATCGTTGACGAACGGGACAGACCACGGCGCAGCGTGATAAGCATACATGTTTATTTACGACTAAACACCACGACAAAACAACAAACGAAACGTGACGTCCAAGGTAGCATACAAACAACATACCTTACACGGAACAAGATCCCACAACTAACAGGTGCCAAAAGGCTGCCTAAGTATGGTCCCCAATCAGAGACAACGAGCTACAGCTGCCTCTGATTGGGAACCACCCCGGCCAACATAGATCTACACATACTAGATCTTAAACATAGAACATCGACATAGCAAACACAACACAGAAAATACACACCCTGACTCAACAAATACAAGTCCTCAGAGTCAGGGCGTGACACCTCCCTACTGTTATTTTATTTTACTGCTGCTCTTTAGTTATTCGCTTTTATTTTTTACTTCACACTTTATTTTATTTTTATTTTTTTAAACTGCATTGTTGGTTAATGGCTTGTAAGTAAGCATTTCACTGTAATGTCTAGATGGAAGGGGGACATTCTTTGTATATTTAAGAGGTTATTATTGGGTAGCAAGAGGTGTAGGATGGGTGTGTGTTTTGAGGTTCAAAGATCAAGGAATCTCAAAACACACACCCATCCCACATCCCTTGCTACCCAATAATAACCTCATATACACACACACAAAGAATGTCCCCCTTCCATCTTGATGAATAAGCCCTTGGGATGCGTTCAGGCATGTGTAGGCACCCTCTCTCCTTTCCCTAATAACACAGTGTGACTGTTAGGTGTCTGTATATGTATAAGTGTGTGTGAGTGTGTATGTTGGGAGAGGTGGCGGGACACACACTCACCACATGTCGACAGCTGTGCTCAGAGGTTCATAGTTGATCACTTCAGGGGCTGAGAAAGAGAGAGATGATTATACAGTGACCTCCAAAAGTATTGGGACAGTGACACATTTGTTGTTGTTTTGGCTCTGTACTCCAGCACTTTGGATTTGAAACAATACACTGACTATGAAGTTAAAGCGCAGACTGTCAGCTTTGATCTGAGGGTATTTTCCATCCATATCGGTTGAACCATTTAGAAATTACAGCACTTTGTATACATAGTGTCTCCCCCCCCCCCCCCCCCCCCCCCCCCCATTTTAAGGAACTAAAAGTATTGGGACAAATTAACTTGTGTATTAAAGTAGTCAAAAGTTTAGTATTTGGTCCCATATTCCTAGCATGCAATGATTACATCAAGCTTGTGACTCCACAAACTTGTTGATTTTATTTTCTGTTTGTTTTGGTTGTGTTTCAGATCATTTTGTGTCCAATAGAAATAAATGGCAAATAATGTAGTGTCATTTTGGAGTCACTTTTATTGTAAATAAGAATAGAATATGTTTCTTAACACGTCTACATTAATGTGGATGCTACCATGATGACGGATAGTCCTGAATGAATCGTGAATAATGATGATTGAGAAAGTTAGACGCACAAATATCATGCCCGTCCAAAAATGGTAACCTCCCCTGTTATTGTAATGGTGAGAGGTTAGCATGTCTTGGGGGTATGATATTTATGCGTTTAACTTTCTCACTCATCATTATTCACGATTCATTCAGGACTATCCGTAATCATGGTAGCATCCACATTAATGTAGACGTGTTTAGAAACATATTCTATTCTTATTTACAGTAAAAGTGACTCCAAAATGACACAATACATTATTTACCATTCATTTCTATTGGGCACAAAATAATCTGAAACACATCATTTCAAATCCAAAGTGCTTGAGTACAGAGACAAATAAATAAATATAATGGTCACTGTCACAATACTTTTGGAGCTGTATGTACTATTATTATTACTGCTGAAATTAACAGTATTTCATTATCCTCATTGCATTGTACTGTATTTCCTGTAATGCTGTACCACTATCTGCTTTGGCAATATCTACAAATTGTATTTTGTGCCAATAAAGCAATCTGAGAGACTTGTCTATGCATGTAGCTGCATTTATGAAAAACACGCAAGCCCCGAAGGCCTGTCAGACTTCACACTATCTGTGAAGGAAAAATTTAACATTTTCAAGAATGCAAACTAAACACTTTATCAGAAAACCATTCATAGATTGTTCCTCCCAGTCAAACTCCAGGGACTTCCTCCACCAGTCGCATTGTATTATTTAAACCTACAGTACTGTGTGTAGCTGCTACTGCTGGGCAAACACATTTGAATTCTAAACTGGACAAGGTTTGTAACCATGCCAACCTTATCATGCTGACCAAATCTGTGTTGAAGCAGCTAGTATTTGTAAACAGCTTGAGATGTCTCTTTCTTTGGGCAAACTACCTGTTGTTTCAAAATCTAATAGGATTTTAAGGATACTTTTGCTTTGTCAAGCATTTTTGGTTTGTGATATATTACTAAATATGTAGATTTGGAATATATGTAGAATATAATTACTATATTGATAAGAGGTTTCTGAAATGATTTGGGTTGAAGGGTAATGTAGTTATGACCGAAATGGCGACTATCCTAGACCATCCAAATTGCTTCCTGTTTCAACTGGAATTGCAACCACCGTAGTTTATCAAAACACCATCAACTCAGATCATGACACTGCACTTCTTGCACTGTCTCCATGGAAACACCTGGAAATAGGTGCTCACTTCCACAGACCACAGTAGGGATCTCAGCCACATAGGCACTGCATTACAAGGGGCCTGTTCCAATAATTTTAATAATGTATCTGTTGTGAAGGGTCATGCCAAGGGTCTCAAATTACCCTAGGCCATGCCCCTTTCCACCACACCTGTTTCCACTCCCAAATCACCCCTCCTCTGCCCTTTTCAACACTTTCAGTTCCCTATTTAAGCAGCATGCTCCTTCCTACACACTAGACTAGTTTGCTTGGTGATGCCATGGGGTGGCCCTATCATTTGTGTGATGAGTCAGTGCCTTAACTTGTAGGAGAAATGTAAGTCAACCTGCCTGAACTTATGTTGCATCTTTTATATCCATGCTATGCTAATGCCCTTTTATGTTTAGTCCTGGCAGCCTCCTTAGTTTGTGGTTATCTTAAGCCCATTCCCTGTAAGTCACTTGGCACTACTTTGTCATGTCTGTACCTTTTTATGTTGATGTATTTCTAATGTTTCCCTTTTGTATCTCCCTTCCAGACCACCACATCCAATCCTATCTTCTTTACAAGCCACATCCTAAAGCACATCCTTCCTACCGGCCTTACAAGCCCTACCTCTGTTCCAAACCCTCCCCCATGTGCCTCTGTTCGTTCCCATGTTCAACTGTATAATAAATACCCCTAAACCTGGATTACTGCTAAATCTCCGGATTCGCATTCTGACCGATGCACCAAAGGATGGCAGAAACAGTCCTGAACCTAGTATAGTCTGTCCTAGTCCTTTTCTTCAGTTTCCTTCCTAAAAGTAATCACTGGTGTGACAATTTGCATATAATGTAAGCAATAGGTTTCACTACATAGCCCTCAAGAATCTAGTCATGTCAATAAGTGCTTCACAACAACTGTAGGTAGAAGGATGCATGAATTTACATGGTATTTAAACAGGGCCTAACTTGTATGAAAGGACTGTACTACTCACAAATGTACTGCGGGGTGCCACTCATGCACTTGTACTCCTCCCCCGGCTGGAAGCTGTGGGCAAGCCCAAAGTCAATTATCTTAATGTCGGGGTTTGGCGCCATCTTGTCTGACAGCATGATGTTTTCCGGCTGATCGTGGAAGGGGAGTACACATTTTACATGCAAAATTAGTACAATCTGACCATAAAGGTCAACAGCATGCTGAACGACCGGACCACGAACAGCACGTTCTTCAACACCCTAGTGCACAGCCACACTCCCTTAGTGACAACTGTGGATGCAAACATGAGCATGCGACATGGACGTTTGCACTAATAAGTAGCAGTGTCAGCATGTTTGTGTGGTTTTGGGATAGATGAATAAAGATATGCTCTTTTCACTTTAAGCACTCATACCTAAAATCCTAGGATTTTGGATTCAATAAATGAACAGGCTGTGTATTACTATTTCTATGCGTAATCCTACTTTAGCAGTGTTATTGGGGAGGTTAGATGTAAACCACTACTACAGACTATTGCAGCACTGGATTCATAAATGTCATATGGAGTGAGTAACGAACAAAAGAAGTTGGATAATATGTTAAATAAACACACTAGCATAATTTACCTTTAGGTCAAAATGGCCTATTTGTTTGCTGTGCATAAAGCCCACGCCCAGTAGTATCTGCTTCATGAACTCGATGGCGTCGCTCTCCGTCAGGTTCTCCTTCACAGCGATGAAGTCAAACAGCTCTCCTCCACTAATACTGAAAGAGGAAGGAGGAGAAATGGAGAGGTGTTAGAACTTAAAGGGAAATTCCACCCAAAAACTATTTTGGTATTTGTTTCGTTAGTCCATTGTTGATATAGACCCAAATTGTTTTGCATGTTAGTAATAAAGTTAAAAATATATAACTTTCAACATATTGAAATACAGGCAGTGTGATGCATTTTGCATCATATGATCCAAAACGCAGCATTAGGCTTGGGCAGTATATCATATACAGTGCCTTCAGAAAGTGTTCACACCCCTTCACTTTTTCCACATTTTGTTGTGTTATAGCCTGAATTTTAAATTGATTAAATTGAGATTTTTTTTGTCACTGGCCTACACTCAATGCCCCATAATGTCAAAGTGGAATCTTGTTTATAGACATTTTTACAAATGAAAATCTGAAATGTCTTGAGTCAAGACATAAACCTCTTTGTTATGGCAAGCCTAAATAAGTTCAGGAGTAAAAATGTGCTTAACAAGTCACATAAGTTGCATGGACTCACTGTGTGCAATACTAATGTTTAACATGATTTTTGAATGACTACCTCATCTCTGTACCCCACACATGCAATTATCTGTAAGGTCCCTCAGTCGAGCAGTGAATTTCAAGCACAGATTAAACCACAAAGACCAGAGAGGTTTTACAATGCCTTGCAATGAAGGGCACCTATTGGTAAATGGGTAAAAAAAATAGAAAACTGACATTGAATATCCCTTTGAGCACGGTGAAGTTATTACTTACACTTTGGATGGTGTATCTGTCACGAATTCAGCCGAGGCTGCTCCTCCTCCTTGCTCGGGCAGGCTTCGGTGTTCGTCGTCACCGGAGTACTAGCTGCCACCGATCAGTTTCTGTGTTCTACTTGTTTTGTCTAATTTGCACACACCTGGTTCCAATTACGATAATTTGTTTCCCTATTTTACCCTCTGGTTCCCTCATGGTGTTGTGCGTGGTTGTTTTGTTGTCATTGACATGTTAGTCAGTATTTTCTTCCCTGCGTGGAAGATATGTTATTTACTCTTGACAAGTAAAGTACGTTGTTAACTAAGTTCTGTGTCCTGCGCCTGACTCCGTCCTACCGCTACACACTGACGCATGACAGTATCAATATACCCGGTCACAAAGATACAGCCATCCTTCCTAACTCAGTTGCCGGAGAGGAAGGAAACTGCTCAGGGATTTCACCATGAGGCCAATAGTGACTTTCAAACAGTAACATGGTTTAATGGACGTGATAGGAGAAAACTGAGGATGGATCAACAACATTGTAGTTACTCCACAATACTAACCTAATTGACAGAGTGAAAAAGGAAGCCTGTACAGAATAAAACATATTCCAAAACATACATCCTGTTTGCAACAAGGCACTAAAGTAATACTGCAAAAAATGTGCCAAAGCAATTACGTTTTTGTACTGAATACAAAGTGTTATGTTTGGGGCAAATCCAATACAACACATTACTGAGTAAGTACCACTATCCATATTTCAAGCATAGCGGTGGCTGCATCATGTTATGGGTATGCTTGTAATCGTTGAGGACTGGGGAGTTTTTCAGGATAAAAAAGAAACGGAATGGAGCTAAGCACAGGCAAAATCCTAGAGGAAAACCTGGTTCAGTCTGCTCTCCTCCAGACAGAGATTAATTCATCTTTCAGCAGGACAATAACCTAAAACACAAGGCCACATCTACACTGGAGTTGCTTACCAAGAAGACAGTGAATGTTCCTGAGTGGCCGAGTTACAGTTTTGACTTAAATCTACTTGAAAATCTATGGTAAGACATGAAAGTGGTTGTCTAGCAATGATCAACAACCAATTTGACAGAGCTTGAAGAAAGGTGCTGCTACAAATGATTGACTCCGAGGTATGAATACTTATGTAAATTAGATATTACCGCCCAAGCAGCATGACATGATGCAAACAAAATGCATCATACTGGCTGTATTTCGAAAGTTATATATCTTGAAAACTTGATTGCTGACATCCAAAACATTTTGGGATTATATCAACAATGGACCAAAAGATAGTTTTTGGGTGGAGTTTTCCTTTAACTCTACTACATAATTCAACCACATCAACAGAATCAATGACTTGCCCTGCATGTATCTCATGTCAGACCTGGGATTAAAAAGTATTGGTTTTCTCCCTCCTCCTCCTCCCCTCCCTCCACTCACAGCTCCAGCACCAGCACCACCTCAGCCCGACTCTCGAACACATCCTTCAAGGCCATGATGTTGGGATGCTTTAGGGCCTGCAGGACCTCAACCTCCCGTTCCACGCTCTTCCGCTCTATGCCCAGCCGGCTGCTAGCACACTTCCTGATCTTCAGGAACTTCCCAGCCCAGCGAGCCCCCGTGGCCCGCTCACGCACCTCCCGCACCTGCCCAAAGTGGCCACTGGGGGCGGCGACAGAGTGCAAAAATGTAGTTGTTTGTCCAATAAAAATATATTCCTTCTGAACACAACACAGATTTATTTATGTAGCTGTTCTGCAATGTCATTTGTGATGTTGAAAAGTATTCTTTCTATACACAATTCAGTCCGTTTTTGAATTATTCCAATTGCTTACATTGAATGTTAGTTCACATTGACCTATGCAGCAAGACAGCATATGCAAAATTGACCTTGAAAAGTAACTGAATTCAGAGTTCAAATACCTTCCTCACTTAAACAGCCTCATACAAGAAGACCTTTTATAATGACAATCCTTACCTCCCAAGTACTTCTCCGATCTCATAGAGGTCTTCCACATTCTCAAGCTGATTAAAGACTGCCATACTTCTCTTTTTCTCCACAGTTTATCCCTCAGTTTCCACCCTCTGTATGTTACTGGTGGTTCAAGCCCAAGTCCTGCATGGTGCGCTCAACTATGGCTTCACCAGGTCGGGACCTGAACAAAGAGAGAAAGAAAACAATATCACAGTTCTAAGGCAAACGTGATAGCATGCAGGGGTACTCAACTCTTACCCTACGAGGTCCGGAGGTTCTGTTCTACCTAATAATTAATTGCACACACACACACACACACACACACACACACACACACACACACACACACCTGGTGTACCAGGTCTAAATCAGTCCCTGATTAGAGGGGAACAATGAAAAAATGCAGTGGAACTGGCTTCGAGGTCCAGGGTTGAGTTTGAGGGGCATAGGGGATTCATTGAATCCTGACTTTTTGGGGGTCTTTATTATGGATCCCCTTGGCAGCAGCTACTCTTCCTGGGGTCCAAACACATTAAGGCACGTCACACAAAAAACAACACCAATATTGAGATGTGCTTGAGATGTTCACCCGCAACTCAAATGTTGAGACATATCTTCAGTTGAGGCCAATGGATGATTTTAGCTCGAGTTATAGGCCTAAGTGCGTATCTGAAATTAGGATTTGGCTCATAATAAGGAGGGGGCTCTATTGCAGCACAAATAACTTAAAACCACAAACAGTGACAGAACAATGAATCAACAGTAGTGGCATAAGGGTCGTTCCATTTGATTTCAATCATTTTTTGACCGCACCCATTTTGAAGGAATGGCAAATAAGTCTGGCTCCACAACTGATTGGCAAACATACTGCAAATTGAGAAATCATGTGACTAAACTGAATAATAAAAATAAACTACACTATGAAACAAAGATAAATAACATAAAAAAAGGATAGTAAAAAGCTTTGGAAGACCGTAAATGAAATTTTTGGCAAAAAGGCAAACTCAGCTCCATCATTCATTGAATCAGATGGCTCATTCATCACATATTGCCAACTACTTTAATTGGCAAGATTAGCAAACTTTGACATGATATGCCAGCAACAAACGCGGACACTATACATCCAAGTATAACTGATCAAATTATTAAAGACAAGCATTGTAATTTTTTATTCCGTAAAGTGAGTGTGGAAGAAATGAAAACATTATTGTTGTTTATCAACAATGACAAGCCACCGGGGTCTGACAACTTGGATGTGAAAATTACTGAGGATAATAGCGGACGATATTGCTACGCCTATTTGCCATATCTTCAATCTAAGCCTACAAGAGAGTGTGTGCCCTCAGGCCTGGAGGGAAGCAAAAGTCATTCTGCAACCCAAGAATAGTAAAGCCCCCTTCACTGGCTCAAATAGCCAACCAATCAGCCTGTTACCAACCCTTTGTAAACGTTTGGAAAAAATTGTGTTTGACAAGATACAATGCTATTTTACTGTAAACAAATTGACAGACTTTCAGCACGCTTATAGGGAAGGACATTCAACAAGCACAGCACTTAGCCAATCAGTCATTTGTGAGAGAGAAATTGATGATAAAAAATATTGTGGGAGCTGTTGTCTTAGACTTCAGTGCGGCTTTTGACATTATTGATCATAGTCTGCTGATGGAAAAACGTATATGTTATGGCTTTACACCCTCTGCTATATTGTGGATAAAGAGTTACCTGTCTAACAGAACACAGAGGGTGTTCTTTAATGGAAGCCTCTCCAACATAATCAGGAATTCCCCAGGGCAGCTGTCTAGGCTCCTTACTTTTTTTCTATCTTTACTAATGACATGCCACTTGCCTTGAGTAAAGTCAGTGTGGCTATGTATGCGGATGACTCAACACTATACATGTCAGCTACTACAGCGACTGAAATCACTGCAACATTTAACAAAGAGCTGCAGTTAGTTTCAGAATGGGTGGCAAGGAATAAATTGGTCCTAAATATTTCAAAAACTAAAAGCATTGTATTTGGGACAAATCATTAACTAAACTATAAACCTCAACTAAATCTTGTAATAAATAATGTGGAAATTGAGCAAGTTGAGGTGACTAAACTGCTTGGAGTAACCCTGGATTGTAAACTGTCATGGTTTACAATCCAGGGTTTATCAACAAGGCAGGTCCTACAGGCTCTAGTTGTCACACCTGGACTACTGTTCAGTCGTGTGGTCAGGTGCCAAATTACAATTGGCTCAGAACAGGGCAGCACGGCTGGCCCTTAAATGTACACGGAGAGCTAACAATAATATGCATGTAAATCTCTCATGGCTTAAAGTGGAGGAGTGATTGACTTTACCATTACTTGTTTTTGAAAGAAGTGTTGATGCAACGAGGTGTCTGTTTAACCTACTAACACACAGCTCGGACACCCATGCATATCCCACAAGACATGTCACCAAAGGTCTTTTCACAATCCCCAAGTCAAGAACAGACTATGGGAGGCGCACTGTACTACATAGAGCCATGGCTACATGGAACTCTATTCCACATCAGGTAACTGATGAGAGTAGAATGTGATTTAAAAACAGATAAAAATACACCTTATGGAACAGCGGGGACTGTGAAGACATTTACATTTTAGTCATTTAGCAGACGCTCTTATCCAGAGCGACTTACAGTTAGTGAGTGCATAATTTTTTTTAAATTGTATTTATTTATTTTATTTTATTTTACATACTGGCCCCCTGTGGGAATCGAACCCACAACCCTGGCGTTGCAAACGCCATGCTCTACCAACTGAGCTACATCCCTGCCGGCCACTCCCCTACCCTGGATGACGCTGGGCCAATTGTACGCCGCCCCATGGGTCTCCCGGTCGCGGCCGGCTACGAGAGAGCCTGGATTCGAACCAGGATCTCTAGCGGCACAGCTAGTACTGCGATGCAGTGCCTTAGACCACTCGGGAGGACAGAGACACATACAGGCACACATACAGTGGGGAGAACAAGTATTTGATACACTGCCAATTTTGCAGGTTTACCTACTTACAAAGCATGTAGAGGTCTGTCATTTTTATCATAGGTACACTTCAACTGTGAGAGACGGAATCTAAAACAAAAAATCCAGAAAATTACATTGTATGATTTTTAAGTAATAATTTGCATTTTATTGCATGACATAAGTATTTGATACATCAGAAAAGCAGAACTTAATATTTGGTACAGAAACCTTTGTTTGCAATTACAGAGATCATATGTCTCCTGTAGGTCTTGACCAGGTTTGCACACACTGCAGCAGGGATTTTGGCCCACTCCGTCCTGCCCCCGTTGCAGAAAAGCATCCCCAAAGAATGATGTTTCCACCTCCATGCTTCACGGTTGGGATGGTGTTCTTGGGGTTGTACTCATCCTTCTTCTTCCTCCAAACACGGCGAGTGGAGTTTAGACCAAAAAGCTCTATTTTTGTCTCATCAGACCACATGACCTTCTTCCATTCCTCCTCTGGATCATCCAGATTGTCATTGGCAAACTTCAGACGGGCCTGGACATGCGCTGGCTTGAGCAGGGGGACCTTGCGTGCGCTGCAGGATTTTAATCCATGACGGCGTAGTGTGTTACTAATGGTTCTCTTTGAGACTGTGGTCCCAGCTCTCTTCGGGTCATTGACCAGGTCCTGCCGTGTAGTTCTGGGCTGATCCCTCACCTTCCTCATGATCATTGATGCCCCACGAGGTGAGATCTTGCATGGAGCCCTAGACTGAGGGTGATTGACCGTCATCTTGAACTTCTTCCATTTTCTAATAATTGAGCCAACAGTTGTTTTCTCACCAAGCTGCTTGCCTATTGTCCTGTAGCCCATCCCAGCCTTGTGCAGGTCTACAATTTTATCCCTGATGTCCTTACACAGCTCTCTGGTCTTGGCCATTGTGTAGAGGTTGGAGTCTGTTTGATTGAGTGTGTGGACAGGTGTCTTTTATACAGGTAACGAGTTCAAACAGGTGCAGTTAATACAGGTAATGAGTGGAGAACAGGAGGGCTTCTTAAAGAAAAACTAACAGGTCTGTGAGAGGCGGAATTCTTACTGGTTGGTAGGTGATCAAATACTTATGTCATGCAATAAAATGCTAATTAAATCACTTAAAAATCATACAATGTGATTTTCTGGATTTTTTTCCGTCTCTCACAGTTGAAGTGTACCTATGATAAAAATTACAGACCTCTACATGCTTTGTAAGTAGGAAAACCTGCAAAATCAGCAGTGTATCAAATACTTGTTCTCCCCACTGTACATAAGACACGAAATCTACACACACGTGCACATGGATGTTCTATTGTAAATATGTGTTGGTCAAATGGTGGCCTGAGGGAACAAACTAAATGGTGTTGTGTAAGGTGTTATGAAATGTAATGTCATGTAGTATTTCAAACTGTATCTAACTGTCTTATGTTGCTGGACTCCAGGAAGAGGATGGGGATCCATAATAAATACAAATTTGAACTAAATGTTCTATACATATTTGCCTATGGTAGAAGTAGTCAGAAAGTAACTTTTTGGACCTGAATACCAAAACATTTAGGAGATCGAGGTAATCAAAGTTGACCCATTTTGCATACCCACCCTACCATGAGACATCCATATCTTCATCACTAGAAAATATAGAGTTTGATAATTTAAAAGCTTACAAACAGGGTTGGTCAACTATTTTATTTCTTATTAAAAAAATATATACACACACACACACACACTACCAGTCAAAAGGTTTGGACATTTGAGATTCTTCAAATAGCCACCCTTTGCCTTGATGACAGCTTTGCACACTCTTGGCATTCTCTCAACCAGCTTCATGAGATAGTCACCTGGAATGCATTTCAATTAACAGGTGTGCCTTCTTAAAAAAGTTAATTTGTGGAATTTCTTTCCTTCTTAATGCGTTTGAGCCAGTCAGCTGTGTTGTAACAAGGTAAGGGGGGTATACAGAAGATAGCCCTATTTGGTAAAAGACCAAGTCCATATTATGGCAAGAGAAACAACAGTTCATCAATACTTTAAAGACATGAAGGTCAGTCAATAAGGAACATTA